AAAACAATACTGCAAGAATACTGAAATTCTGGGTAAGGAGCTAGTTCGTGGCACTGTAGAACTTCTTGACAAACAGGATGGCAGGGCTTTTTAGGCTCCTACAGAGATGACCAGACAACAGGACTGCCCAGTTCTATCTGCCAGGCCTAGCTACAAAAACACAGGAGAAACGCTCTGGAAGTCCCTGCTTATGCTGGCTACGATGGACCAATAAGGGTACATCGACTCTAGTGCTACGTGGCCAAAATCTTAAAGGGCTCCTACAGGGTGTCTGAACATTCCGCTGAAACAGGTGTAAACCAGCAACAACAGGGGTGGAAAAGCAGGCTATGTTAGGCAGTCACTGTTTGTCGGTAGCCAATATTAAACATCACGACACAGTACTTCTAACGGTAGCAGGACTGGAAAAAAAATGTGAAAATTATCCACAGATAGATTCCATTACACAACATTTTTTAACTTGGGTTTGGGTAACAAAACACAAGGACAGAAAAGAGAGTCTAGACGCAAATGGTATTTCTGTCAATAAAGAGACAAAGAGATGCAAGTCAATTGGAGTGGCTGACAAAGGGCAAGCAAAGAAACCACATCGTGACATCAACATTAGGCATAAAAAACCCAGAAAGAAATTAATTGTTTCTACTAAAAGAACACTTAAGGTGATCAAGTTCATAGAGCACAAGTTTTACCTCAGAAATGTAATTTAAAGTTGGTGCTTTATCATAACATCAAATGAGATGCTGCATTTTGCCGACTTACCTTGAATAGTGTAGATAAAGCCACCTGCTATTCCCTCCACACCTTCGGTGAGTTCATGTGGCAGTGACCCTTCCCCTGCCTGATAGAGACAGATTAATGGAAAGAAATAAATCAGTTCACCTCTCATTACTGATGTGTTTTTCCCATTAAGGTGTGAAGTTTTCTGGCAACTGAGAATGAAATTAATTTAAAGCTCTTCTGGTTTAGGTACCTGCAATAACAAAAGACTAGTATTTTTGACTGTAATGTTTTGTGGCATTTTTTTGAGGTTTCACCTAAAGCTAGTGGTACCACTGAAGCTTTTAGAAAACTAGTTTCAGAGCTGAGAGCAAAACGTAAAGTTATTCTGGCTAAATTACAACAGCACAGCATGTTTAAGCAAGCAGCGTTTTGACAGGAAGAGACAAAAAGCAGAAAACTGGCTTAATCCCATTGATTGGAATTTCAGCATAGGATTTTTGGCCCACATTTTGCCATCTCTGATATACTGCTAATGCTTCACATCTGACAAAGACTACAGATGAACTTTACTCCCTTCAAAATAAAAGAAAATGCCACTTACTGGCATCATTTTTTACATGCCCTTGTCCTTTTCCAAGGGATAGCAAACTTCCCCTCTGAGACAACAGGAGAAGTCCAACTGAATTAACGAATTACAGAGAAACAAAGGAAAGCAAAATGCTAAATACACAAGACTTACAGGAGAAGTAGAAACACGGTGGAAGGGAATGGGAGATGACTCACCGTAATGACTCTGAAAACACCCCCTCCATCATTCACTGTTACTTTATGAAGGTTTCTTGAAACAAGGCCCTGAAGATCCTGGCTTTCCCACACAATGGTACCTTCAAAGCTCTGGTAAGAGAGCAAAACACTGTCATGCAGGTATTCAAAGACTTCAGAGGATAAAAATCAAACAGTTTAGGGTTTGGGTTTTTTTATTTTACAATAGTCAACTTCACGCAACATATAACTTGAATGCACAACATAGATGTTTTACTTACACTTCAGTAAAAGTAAGTTACACATAAAAGAAATACATCTGCAAAACTCAGTAACACATAATCATGCTTTTAAGGCTAATCATGAATCTCTATTATTACTAACATTAAACTCCCAGAAATCTAGTGTAAAAGGCTTTGGCTTTCTAACATCATTAAGGTGGCATTTAAAGGTGGCCTGAAGTGAATTTTTAAAAATCAACTATAAAATCCCATATTATAAAGAGAGTATGTTAAAACAACTAAAAAGCAAGGTGTATTTCCAAGTCTGTCTGCCAAAACCAGAGATCAGAGACGCAATCCTGACATCAGCAAAACTCAAAGGAAAATACAGCCACCTTCACCCTGGCAAAGCTGTCCAGCTGCTGTAGGAGAGTCAGAGAACCCTGACCTCACATCCCTGCTGGCAGGAAAAGGAGCGGGAAGTTATGTCGCTCCACGGTTGGGGGGTGTATGTGTGTGTTTCAAAACTAACAGTCCGACTATTACCCACTTTATGTCAGACTTTCTGAAGACCCCCCGAGAACATGCCAAGGGACAAGTGGTATGCTGTACAGGTAAAAGTACCAGTAATATTATATTTTTTAAAGCAATTTCACCCTTATGAGAAGGTAGTCCAGAGTAGTTATAGCGTGCTTATACTCCTGACTGCTAGATGAACACATTCCGTTCAGATTCTCCCAGTTTCATAGGAAAAACACTGGTAGCCAGTGTGGACCTTGGAAAAGAAAACCAACTTGTTTCAACTATTTGAAGATGCATCTCTGTTGCTGCAGAAAGACTGCTTACTTGTATTAAGCTCTCTGCTCTTCCCTATTTTAGCTTCCTTGTACTCTGAAAACCTTCTCCAGTTACTGACGCACTATTAAATCTAGCTCAGAGTTCAGGTCAATTCTTTGCTTTCCTCCAGAAGTAGGCCTTAACATCCGCTGCAGTCTCGGTATTTAATGACAGCTGCGCATTTCAGAAGTCTCCCATCTATTATTTATAATGCCAGCTTTATAACCTAATAAAAGAGCTAGCCAGTGTTTATTCAAGCCTGACTTGCATGCTCAATACCTTCCCCTTGTTTCTTAAATTACCTGTCAGTTATCAAAAGAAATGGACCATTACTAAGATTTTATTTTTTTTTAGTGGCAGGACCCCTGAAGAGTAAAACCCATACACTCAATTTCTCTGTTTGCAGTGGCTGTCATCTCCCATTCCACTGTTTTTTTGCTGTAGGGACTGGGCTCTAATCCCACTTCTGTGCCTTGTTTACAGACATAAAACTTCAGTAAGTTGTTCAGTGAGCCTGAGAGTCCTTTCGCTCCTCAGCAACCAGAAACATTAAAGTTCTCCCCACTGACCATTACTGATACTGACTTCAAACACACACCAAGAGTCTTAATCAGTTATTACCACTGAACTCAGTGCACGATGTCCTAAAGCTGCCAACTATCATTATTTTCCAGGTTGACAGACTTGTAAGCAAATTTTCTGATGAATTCAGCCTTCAGCTATTCCTACTCTAAGCTAATGAAAGCTGAGGCCTGAAAATGCCTAAAGCAAAACATTAGTGGCACACCTGAGACTACATCATCTGTTCTTCCCCATTTAAATTCCAGCCTTGCTGCTGCCAGAGCGCAGTGGCATTTACAGTGAATACCGAACAGGTGCACTGACATAATGCAGCACTGCCAAACTCCTTTCCTAATGTTTAACAGTGCTGTGCCTTTTTGCTTCTCCAACTACTCCCCACTAGTAATATAAAGCACGCATAGTATGGAGTCCCATTTTCGTGCAAGCGACCCGTGGCTTTTTGACAAAAGAAGGGTATTGCTAGACTTGGCTGTAAGAGCCTCCGTGTGAGTTTGTTATCTGCTAGCGGTTCTGCTCTTCTGCGCTTTCAGTCGTTCCAAAGCTGAATGATCGATTCTGCCTCTGACAATCTGGCCTGCCAGATGCTTATTCTCATGCTGCATCTCCTTTCCCCAAGACGAGCAGAAAGAGCAGCACTTCAGCTGGAAGATGAATGAAGCTCTTCAGCAGTCTGTACAATCCATTACTTATTGAAGGTGGAAAGGCAGAGAATAGATACTGTCTCAGAAATCATCTTGCGACAATTAAACAGTTCACCAAATTTACTGCTCTCAAACAAGCAGATAGGAACACATGGGCATTCTATCTCCTCTGAATCATCTTGTACGGTT